CTCCTGCTCCGCCGAAGAACAGCCAAGCTGGCTTCTTGGGGGTATTCCGGAGGCTATCGTCTTCATCTGGCGGATCCCTCGGCGCTGGAGCTAAACTAGGGCACGGTCTTGTCGAACGCAGGGTGTTGAACGTGGACCATAGCCGCGAAAGATGTCCCATTTCAGAGCTGAATGGTGCCAAGTTACGGAGAGTTTCTTTTTGCGTGGATGTTGAGATTGCACCCATGCCTAAGTACTCCGATGGAGAGACACAGGCTAAGGCTCCCGTCGGTGCTGCGCAGAAGAAGAAGATGACAGAGTCGGGTGAAGGGGAGGCCCTGAAAAATCCCAAGGCTGCAGAGGAAGCAAAGGAGGCCAACGGAACAATTCCCACGTCAGCCGTGAGCGTGGCCAGTAATGGTGACAAACCCTCAGACAGCGCCAAACAAAACTTAGACATCATCGACGAGTCCACTCCTATACCGGAAGCTGCGAAACCAGAGCCCGAAAAGGAGACAACCCGAAAGAAAGAGAAGAAAAAGAAGAGCGAGGAAGAGCGCAAAGCTAGGAAAGAAAAGAAGCGCAAACTCGCCGAAGCCAATGGGACCATTCCCATGGAGATTCGCTATGACAGCAGCGATTCATCTACCGAGCCCGGCAGCACACTCAACGGGGTAGTTAAAACAACATCAATACCGACAACGAATCCGGTCAGGGTGTACCGTAGATGTTGCCAGCTACGGGAGACACCCATTCTAAAGAAGATAACTGAGCAGCTAATCAACGCCACCCCCTCCGCGCACCTAGGCGTGGTGAACAAGCTGGATCTGACCGGCTACACTATGCAGTTGGAAGATCTCATCACGCTTGGTGATTATTTTGCAGTTGTGCCAGTACGCGAGGTTATCTTGGAGAATTGCAACCTCGGAGATGAGGGCCTGAGGGCAATTTTGGCCGGTCTTCTCGCTGCGAAAGTTCCTGATTATAGGCGCCGGAAGCAGAAATCTGACTTGCAGGAACAGGGTGGTGTCATCGAGCGCCTGGTTTTGAAAGACAACAACATTGGCCCCGATGGGTGGAAACACCTCTGCCTATTCATCTACCTCTGCCGTTCATTGAAGTTTCTAGACGTCTCCAACCTTCCACTACCCCGGCAGGGATCTACACAGCAAAATGGGCAAGCCATCAACGGACATCAAATTCCCAGGGGTGTTTCTGAGGTCTTATCAAAGTCATTAGGTGAGAGGCTGGGTGGGTCTACGCTTGAGCTCATCAATCTTGGAGGCACAGAGCCAACAACAGAGCAACTTGGTGTGATTATCGATGGTCTCGTGCAGTGCGGCGTCCGAAGGCTCGGTTTGGCTAACAACCATCTCGACGAACAAGGAGTGTCCCACATCGCGCGTTATCTCGCCGCCAGGAAATGTGAAGGCTTGGATCTTAGTGGGAATGATCTGAAAGACCATATGGAGAAGATCACAGCGTCGATTCAGGAAACGGACCCATTGTGGGCTCTCAGCCTATCCGGCTGCAACCTCAACCCTTCGTCACTCTGCAAGATTATGCCTACCTTGATGAAACTAGAAAATTTCCGGTTCATCGACTTATCGCACAACCAGGACCTTTTCCAATCAACCCCCAGCGCTGTGGGTTTATTGAGAAGGTGAGTAACAGGTTTCACATTTGTCAATCGAAAATCAAAATGCTGACAGCTCCAAACAGGTACCTGCCCAAGATGAAACCATTAAAACGCATTCATCTCCAAGATGTAGCCATGACTTCGGAACAAGCTATTGCGCTAGTGGAAATTTTGCCCGAAGTCCATCAATTAGCACATATCAATCTCCTGGACAACCCTGAATTGGTGGCGCTGGCAGATGCCAGAACTGAGGAGGCCCAAGAAGAGGCATGCGCCCTATATGCATCATTATTAGCAGCCTGCCGAGTTTCGGAGAGCATCATCTGCGTTGACATTGAGGTTCCCAGCGAACAGTCCGGCGAGATTGTCAAGGCCATGGCTAAGCAAGTGGTGGCCTACTGCCTCCGAAACATGGAGCGTATACCCGATCACGACATGGGCGCGGCCATCAGCCTGGCGCTCAACGAAACTCAACGTGAAAGGGGCGAATCCAAATCCTCAGCGTACCCAGATGTACTCGTTCATCTGGTCGGGCACGACGTTCTCGATGAAAACGAGAGTGTCGAGGATGACGGCTCTGCCCCTGATGATGATTATGTCATTGGAGGCACTGGCCTCGTGAAAGCCCTGACATGCTGTCTCGAAAACCGCGGCGATACGTCGACCGGGCAGTATGGAGAATTTGTTGGCGAACTCGAGGAGGACGAGGCAGAGGGCTCCAAGCTTGCGGCTGGCAGAAAGGCCAAGGACACGTCGAAGCATCTTCTGGCTGGTGCCCGCAAGATTCGCATGCGCCTCCAGCCCGCCCTCACCAGGGCAAGAGCACACCACCCACGTGATGAACAGAACTTGCGCAAGCTCGTCTTCCTGGACGACACTCTTCAGGGTATCATCAAACGATTTGAGGATGAGTACCCAGACACGCGAGAGCCTGTTGAGCCACCGGGAGAGCCGGCAGCATCCTCAAAGAGTCATGTGGAAATTTTATCAGCATCTCCTCCAGGGGCTGAAGACAAGGGTGCCATATCTGATGGTGAAGACGAGTCAAAGATTCAGCCACCAAGGCCTCTGTCTCGATCAAACTCTGTGCTCTCTAAATTACTCGCAGAGGAGGAGGCGCGCGTTCTGCGTGTCGGCCACCGGTTCCGGTCTGGTCTCTTTACTCGGGAACAAATGGATATCCTGAGCACAGTTGATGACATTGGAAATGACCCCAAGCATATAACTCTCCTCACGGGAATTTCTGAGGATGTTGGAGGTGAGCTCCTCGAGCTGGTCAAGCAGAAGGGTGTTATCCGCGTGTTCAAGGAAGATCGGGATTTCGTCTTCAAGTGCATGAAAGAACACGATCCAGATCACTGGGACAGCTTTGTCGAGTCTCAACGAAAGGCTCGTGCCAACATCACAGTACCTACAAGCGACACTAAGCCGACGGTTGAAACTCAGCTCGCGGATGAAAGTGCCATCATCGACTGAGTTAGCCCCAGCTTCTATTATCCGCAGGTCACAGAAACATGTCGCTTGCTTTTATCCACGGCCGTGCTGCACAACCATTAGTCTCACCATCACTTGTATCAAAAAGCAGATTATCTTTCTTTTTTTTTCTCTACGAATATACGAGGAGGTCCCGGTGTTCACTGCTCTCTGCTTCCGGTCCAGACTGGGGGGACTCGTCTTCTGTTTGTATTCTTCTCTCTTTGGCAGTATGATTATCACGTATTTCTAGCAATGGGGGCGCATTGGGGAGGCATAAACAGCAATGATAATTTGGACATGATAGGTTTTATTTTTATGTTTGGGGTCCATTTTGTATTGCCTGGACCTCATCGATCCGGTCGCTTGGATGGAATGTAGCTCTTTCAAAGAATGAAATGGCATCTGGCGGTATTCTTCACCGTGCAGCTCATACTCTAGCCCCTAATTCTCGCTTTTCCTGTCTTGCCTGACGGATTGCCTCGCTGCTTGATCTTCATTTAACATGTCAGCTGTTTCTTGTTGGGGTGGGGACTCGTCTCTCGGCGCTGGGATGGTTCAATCTTCGTGTTCGGGAAGATGCATAATATTTTGGCTGGGGTGGTTTTAGATATTAGCTTGTGTGGTTATCCCAAAGGTGGAGGAAGTCCTGGGCTTGGTGTAAATTTGCTCAGTATCATGAAAATATCGATACTAAGCAACAAACCCGATATTGTGGGACCAGTACAATAACGATATTAACCAAATTAATCATAAGAACCAAGAAAAGAAATTCATTTATACCGCCAATAAATCACCAGATAACATTCTCCTACGCACCAATAGCTTCTTCTGCCCTGAATATCCCATCTACATCTAGGGTAGATGCATAAGTTGGGCGCCAGAGAGGTGTATTCACATGGCAAGTCACATGATAAGATGGTGCAATTGGGCTCCTGTTTGGTTTGTGCACAGGATTGGGCCTTCGCGCCACAATCGTGGGTCGGCTGGTCATCATTACGTCTTTTCTCACCCGTATCGTGGCTATGATGTAGACATGGCTGAGATACAGGTTTCGGGGCTCATGAAACTATGTAATGGGGCGTGGGGGGAGTTCGCCTTCTAAAACCCACCTTGATAAGATAGCTCAATTGAGGCAACTTCTACCGTTTAACGAGACCGCTCTGGTTTTTTGTCCGCCCGTTGAGGCAGGTCTATAATCTGGGGAAGCTGGCCAGGCTGGTCGGCACATTGCCCAGGGAGTTGTTTCCTGCCTAGGCCGAAAGAAGGATCGAATGATCGCCCAGCGCGTCTTCCGTGGGCGGAACGCGTCGGCCGCCCAAATTATTTGGCCAAGGCACGGCGTCTATAGCACTATGTAACTAGGCGCAAAGTAAAATTGTCTTCATTTTTTTGGCAATGCGAAAACGAGGACGTCCATCGAAGCCCTGGAGAGTCCGGGACAGAAGGACGATGAACGAAATTAAGGGCAATTACAGACCGATGATTGTTATTCCATAATCCCGTATTATGAGCATCTTGGCGCAGGAGTTCCGAGCCAGCCTTTGCCAACGGTGGAGTCGCCCCCCCGTTCGGACTCCAGCTCAGCACCGCACCACCGTTTAGTGGGAGGAGGTAAGCACGAGATACTGCACATACCTCCTGCCTCACAGGGGGGGGCCCTTGGCGGAATTTCCACTTTCTGGAACTGGGTTTCTGGACAGATTCGTTCTCTACCCCATCACCTACCCGCGCGACTCTGCTGCGACCCGGACATCCGTCGAGGTTGAATGTAGACGATCCATTGCTCTCTCCTCCTCTTGGCCAATTCACTCCCGTTCTACAATTGTAGCCTAGGAGACTCCCGCACGCGCGATTACCGTGACCAGTGACGTCTACGACCCTCCCCAACGAATAGCCCGAAGCCACCATGTCGTCCCCAACATCTTCTTCACACAGCGGCAAGCGCAAGAGAAACGCCACAAGCCAGCTGGATGTGCCAAATGACGCGCTCGACAACCTCCAGGCGTCCTCCCGGGATGCTTCTGGGGAGGAGGGCGACACAACGGCCCCCGAGTCTGAGCACCGGCCCAATGCTAAGCGACAGCGAGCCAACAGGCTTGACGAGGCTGCTACATCTTTGACAACGGCTGACCCTGGCGAGCCCAGCGACACCACCGAGGCCAGCGTCGACATTGCTGAGCGGGTTGGTCGCAAGGGCCGCAAGAACTCCAATGCCACTGCGGCCGAGACCGAGAAGATGCCTCCCCCCCCGATTGGCAAGATGATCCATCCTGCCGGCGGTTATCGAACCAATGCACCGCCCGTTGGTCGTCCTGTTAGAGTCTACGCCGATGGTGTCTTCGATATGTTCCATCTTGGGTGAGTGAGATAAGGTTACTTCTACGTTTTCGACAGCTTCTGACATCTTCCTAGCCACATGCGCCAGCTTGAGCAAGCCAAGAAGGCTTTCCCCGATACCACTCTTGTCGTCGGAGTTACAGGTGACTACGAGACACACCAGCGCAAAGGCTTAACTGTCATGTCCGCCAAAGAGCGCTCAGAGACCGTGCGACACTGTAAATGGGTAGACGAGGTCATTGAGGACTGCCCATGGATTGTCACACCCGAGTTTCTCGAGGAGAACAAACTTGACTACGTCGCCCACGACGATCTTCCCTATGGCGCTGATGAGGGTGATGACATCTACCAACCCATAAAGGAGGCGGGCAAGTTCCTCGTCACCCAACGCACAGAGGGTGTCAGCACCACTGGCCTCATTACCAGGTTAGCAAGTTCCATTACCCACAAGAACGGGATACTCTCGGCCTCTTGGAAGAGAAGTTGAACTAACTTAGAATGTAGAATTGTTCGAGACTACGAAAAGTATATCGCGCGACAATTCAAGCGCGGAACTTCGCGACAGGAACTCAACGTGAGCTGGCTCAAGAAGAACGAGATGGACCTGAAGCGCCATGTTCAGGAGTTGCGTGAGAACATCACCAACAACTGGACGTCGACTGGCGTGGAGTTGAGCAGGGAGTTGAAGCAATTCTGGCCCGCCAGCCGACCGCAGAGCCCTGCCCGGGCCAACAGCGCCTACGGTAATGACCTGGCAAGATCTCCCACCAACACGGGGGCCAACTCCAAGGAGTTCCTGACAGGCTATGCCGTTGGTGTTGCTGGTGGTATCAGATCATGGGTGAGGACATGACCCCTGAACGAACCGTTGGTCAAACAAAATGCTGACAACGATTTGCAATAGATGACCAAGAACAGGAGAACGGTGGGTGATAGCCGCCCTGTCAGCGACGACGAGTCTGACGAGAGCGATGCCAATGTCAATGGGAACGGCAAGGGCAAGTCCTCGGAGCCCGTCAAACTATAGCTTTCAGCTGGAGGATGAAGACACATGACAACCTAACCTGCCACGTTGGGGGGAGCTAAAACACAATATTTTGGAATTTCGGAAAACTCCACAGTGGAAAAAGGATCCAAGGACGGTCCGGTCATGAAACGGAGTGCTGGTCAGATGATACTACTGGCTGTAGGAGCACATAGATGGGAACATAATCTTAACTTAACGGCGTTTGGTCGGTCAGGTCGAATCACGCATATCTGAAACACAGATCCTTTTCGTCTCGTTGGTTTAAATTGCGGTGATGTGTTATTGGGGGCCGACAGAACAAGCAAAGATTCCTTCAGATATCGACAACTCACCTCTGTGGGTTAGGGCGCTTGGATGTGCTTTGCCCCTTTTTGGCCCCCTTTCCCCCCTCATGGCCCTTCGGCTTCGGGAGGAACATGTCTAGTTTGTTCTGGAGTGTTGGTTAGGTGGCTGCCTCTCATGACGGCCGGCCCGTCCCGGCGCACGTTGGTATGTTTGTCGTCCGTGAGTCGTGGTAACTGCCAACTTGTAGATGTTAGTATCTCTTGGTGTTGGTCAGTCTAACCTAAGCCGTTCCTCGAGGGATGCGCTGATGTGAGAGATAGTATATTAAAAAAAAAAGGAGAGAACAGTTTTCCCTGACTTCTCGATCGCACCAAGGGAAAGTTTGCAATTAGCCGCGCGCTCCAGGCGTTCTATCATGAAATGTCACCGATCCTTGGCGCGATGTAGACGCACAATGTGGCTCGAAAATAGGAGGAGTAGAGCGATGCAACCCAACCGTAAGCAGGTACCAGAGTGGCAGCGTGGCATCGTCATTTATTTTAGGGCTCACTTCTGGTTAAATTGGGAATACAATTCCACATCTGTCCAAGACCAGGTACGTACGCGTCCAAGCAGCCACGTACCATGCTTAGGCAGCCCGATGGAGCATGACAATTATCCGGCACTTGGGGATGATGAGAAGATGATGATGACAACCGAGAATCCTTCTCATGACAAGTCGCTGCTGCCGCTGTTGCTGGGTGCTGCTGGCAGCGGATCGCTGCTGCTGACACGCAGGTCGGTAGTGCTTTGTATTTTAGTGTTCATTATCCGCACTGATTGCCATATTTACATCGGGCCCAAAAGCAAGGTAACGGGGTCAGAGATAGACATGGGGGGGGAGGACCACAGCCAAGATGCGTGAGCCTTGCAGATCTCCCAGTTTCATGATACGAGGTGGTGGGCGCGATCCAAATATGGGGAAACAAGCCGAATATGCACCAGAGTGGGAGAAAGGATCGGGCAGAGGCATCGGCAGTGAGCAGCAGCAGACTATAACCTGATGGCGATGAGGAGGCGTTTCCGCGCTGGTGCTCTGCAGGCGACACACACACCCCTCCCCAACCGTGCGAACGGTTGATGCGATTCCCGGCGCTGCGGGAGAGCCGAAAGGTTACGTCTGCCCTGGACGTGACATATTGGGGGCGAGCGGGAGAGGATTTTCTGGTTCGATTCCCCAATTCTAGGCGCTAAGGCTGCTCTCCTCTTCCTCCTGCAAGGAGTCTAGGGCTGTCTTGATGTGGCTTGTAGGGACTTGGGCGCAAGTCCCGTAGTAATGACGGAGGGGCGTGATGCACAAAGGCCTCCAGAGACAGGTGCCGAGTGTCGTTAACAAGCCTGTGCCTCCTGGGCCGTTGCGGCTGCCCATGCCACCATCACCACCACCTGCAACGGCCTGTGCGATCATGGTGATGTCAATCCGGGCCGTGGTGGTTAGTGCCCTGGAACCATCCGAAAACCTAACCTTTCCAGTCCGTGCTGCGGCACATGGGGCCCTGGCCTGCCCTTGCCCTGCTACACATATTGCATGCCCAGATGGGTTGTAGGGTGGTGGTGACAAAGGGCTGGGCAGAATACTGCAAGATCCCAGATACCGACAATCGGGGGCAGCTTCTCTTGCTTCCGAGAGGGAGGGACGGCCTTCTGGGTGGCCTTGTGGAGGGATGGCCCTATGGCTGAGCGATTGCCAGTTTCAGCATGACTTGTCGACGACATGAGACCATGATACTACCCACGGGCTTGGCTTCACCGCCCACTTCCTCCATGGTCTCGTCTATAGCTCGGAAAGGGTAGTATCCCGATAAATATTTACAGTACGGAGCAATTTAAAATATCACCAGAATAGAAGTTGGGTTGAAGGATGGTGAAGTTGACGCCAATCTCACCAAGATTCAATGTATGCTGAGGGGGTAGGCCGTAAGTCTCGTTTGATGAGATGCTCAACCATCACCAAATAGACGCCGACTTGAAGGATGACGGAGTCTAAGCCAATCTCACAGAGATTTGCTATGCAGGTTGAACGAAGCTGGTGCGGAGCTACGGCTTGCCGTGTAGGTCGTGGTCAGAGATGCACCGGGCATCCCGCCCACTCATTGTGGTGAAAATCATCCTGGTGGTGTCAACGCCAGAAAAGGGAGGGATGGATAGGGCGTAGAATTTTCTATCGATTTGATTTTCCCCTTTCTCTCTTGGTTTCAGGACACGAGACCTCCTGAATCGATCGATCCTTGGGCATGGGGGAGTATTCAGCTGAGGCTTGATTCTAGCCGCGAAGCGCGGTAGAGGATGTGACCCTCCTATCCGATTTGCTTCCCTGGCGGTTCTTGGATAGTATAAGCGGTTTTGGCCCCCTAGTCAACCAGGGCCCCAGGCTGTGGCTTGTTCGCCCAAGCTCCCTTCACGTCCGAGTGTGGCCAAAGCACAGAGTACGGAGATGATGGGATAGCCGGGTCCGGACGGCTGGTTCCTTGGGCTGGGAGGAATCTGGGGCTTGAATGTGTGTGGCAGCAGTCGTGGGATCCAAAAATAGGACACACACTGGCGGGGGTCACCAGCAGACATGGCGGCTGTGCAGTCAGTAATAGTAATCAGCATCTGCTGCCCTCAGCAAGTAATCGTGAAATTCGAAGTTTCAGGGCAGATGAAACGCGCCACGTACGTAATCATTTGTGCATCGAATAGCATGAGACTGTGATGTGAGATGCAAGCTATTTTAGGGAGCGCAGTCTCATTCACCTGCAAGACAATGAATGAATGGCTGGTTGGCTGCATCTCGGTCTTGCGTATGCCGCATCCATCCCCAAAGGCACTTACTTACCTGTAGGCAGGCCGGTAGTGGAGGTGGTGTTGGCAGGCCCTGGCCCGGACGCTGGCCGAGTCCACAAGCTTTTGGGAATGGGAACCACCTCGAACAAACAACAAGGAAGAAATGGTCTTTTGGTCACTAGCGGCCCCTGCGTATGCTGCTGAAGTCGCATTAGGCATCGTTTATATCGCCTAAACGGTCGTCTTACATGCCCCAATCTCCAACGCTTGGCTTGTCTGCTCGTTGGTGGTAGAGGTTAGCGTTCCTGTGCATCACTCGGATAGAAGACAATACTGTACCGTACCATTGCTGTTGGTCCCCGCGCGCATCACTGCAGGCCCCCGGCTCGGGCATGACATTGGTACACACCGTGGTAAATTACTCATTGCCTCATGCATATCGGGAGAGTTATTGCCTGCCTGCCAACCAAATGCTCAATAAAGTGAGCCAATCACGGGACGAGGGCCCCCCCTCGCCTATTGGGCAGAGTCACTGCTTTGCATGGCACTCCAAAGGGACGAACAGGATTTGGCGAGGTGTGATTGATATGCGTCGTACATATGACTGGATACAGGGTGCTGGCCCGAGATCGTCTGCCGCACCCTCTCGCGTGCTGGATTTGATTTGATTAGACTGAGTTGGTTTGCTGTGCTTATTGCCCGCACAGAGGCAGCTGCAAGGGGTGGTTGGTGCCGGAGGTTGGGCGGTGGGTGTTGGCTACTTCCATGTTGGTTCCTGTTGGTTGTTGGTGATAGTGGTTGTGATGTGGTTGGTGCTGGCGTGTCGGCAGGAATGGGGTGAGTGGGCGTGCTTCAATGTGCCTGAGAGCAGTAGCAGGTGCGAGCGAGCAACAGCCAAGCAGAGGGGTAAGGTAGGCAACTGCCTCGCATTGAGGTTGAGGTTGCACCTGCCCGAGCTTCCGTCTCACTTACCCTACGGTACCTGCAGCAGCGATCAAGCTACTAACTCGTCTTCCTTCCATCCATCATCCTACACCCGAGACGCACACACGACGAGCCCGGATCACGGTATTGTCGACACATCCATCAGGTTGCGCGGCAAGCTCGCCCAATCGCGTTTTCCCTCATGTGAGATGGAGCCACACACAGTTATTTTGGGCCAGGTCCCATTCCCCCACTGAGCGACCCGCCTCTTTTTTCATTGCATCTTATGGCACCCCCTGCCAAATCTCACGTCGGCAGGGCGCTTGATGCTGACCCGGACCAATCACCACGCCAAAAAGAGCCGCCTTTCCCCATCGCCCAGCCCTCCCAAGCCTTGGCTTTTTTTACTTTGGCTTCCCTGCCCTGCCTCGGCGGCTAGCAGCATGGGCCAAGAGCAGGCCTGTGCACTATTGCTGTGCCTGTCGAGTGGGAACTGCCCTGTGGCTGCCACAGCACTGCCGCCGCACCAGCCACTTGCACGACCCTTGTGCTCGTCATCCTGCCTTGACGATCATGCTCTCACCACCTCACTGGGTGTAGTAGACGCACTGACGCGGCTATTCTTGATACTCGCTCAGCTCAGCCTCAAGCACAGCTCGGCTTGCGCTTAGTTCGTCAATCAACGGGATGGATGACGGATTACGGATGGACAACAAGCGCCACATCGACATCCTTATGCGCCGTTTCGTGGAGCCGTGGTCGTTCGGTATCTAATTCGGGACTGCGGCTCCCCAAGATGGCGCGCTTGTGGCTTTGGTATGGCTTGTGTAAGTCCATACCGGCACTTTCTGTCCTCACGCCATGCTTCCTTGGTAGGAGCTCAACAATCATGGCGGCGATTTTTAGAAGCCCTGCACTGTGCTCAACTGTGAACGTGGATCCAACACCCGCCGCATGCCGCGCTTTCGGAGCAGCAGGAATTCTGTGGCATCCGCATTTCGCTTCGCACATGCTCTCCTTTTTCCTCCCCTTTACCCCTTTCACAACTGCCGGTTTCACCAATCAAAACTAAATAGCGCGAGGGGTAAATGAAGTACCACGTCCTGCAAAAAGTCCCTATCCCCTCTTTGCAACACGATTTGGCCGCGAGCTGCCAACAGAGTAGTGGAAACAACTGCTTTGAACTATCACCAACATGATGGTCAGACTCCCTGGCTCTGCTCCACCCCCCCTCACACCCCTGCTTGGCAACAGGACCCAGTTGGCCCCCCCCTTGCAACGGTGGTAGCCAATCTAGTCGCCGAGATGGCTCTATGGTGTGCGGCGTAGTGCGAGGGCCACCCCATGTCTAATCATGGTTCGTTTGCCTTATGTGCACCGCCTGTATTTCTTTTTTTTGGGTTGTTTTCTACTCTGATGGATACTATCGTGCATAACAACTCTACCTGGCCTTGCAGGGGAGAGAAGGGAAATGATCCGTTTCCAGGGGGTCTGGCCAACAGGACGTGCCCCTCCACGAGCCCCAAGTCCGTGAGCAGACCACCCTTGTTGGGACTTTGGAGCACCCATGGACACGAAGACAGATTCCCATAAGGCTCAGGCCCTGACGTCTGTCACTGGTAGGCACACATCTGATTACCAGAAAATCACACCCTCTGCGCGATCCCTAATGCTTAGGGGCGATGTGAAGAGGGAGGCGTCGCTCTATCCAAGCCTCTCTACTCCTCCAAACCAAGAGCCCTACGTGTCTACCTGTCGACGGCGCGGTACCTTGCATCCTCTGCGAGACACCTCTTTGTGTAGTATTGTTAAGCTGGTCCATCCGCGCACCTACATATGTACATAAGTGCATGCTAGTGTATACTTACCTACTGCACAATGTGCAGACATCCCATCATCCTTACCTATCCCATCCTCTATGTATATTACATCTGTATGCATGCAAAGTGGACATGGCAAACCCTTGTACGGGCTAGCAGGGTTGACACTTCGCCCCGGGACGGTTTGACACAACAGAGTGTGCTGGGGCCCGTAGCCTCCTCCTCCCCGTTCTTCGGGACCGCAACATAATCCTGTTCTACTTTTACCGCTTGCTCGCTATTCGTGTCTTCATTTGTCTAGCAATGCCTCCTTTCAGTCCTATCTTTATCCGCCGCAACTCTGTTGTCTCACAGCGGATCGGGATTGCCACCGTCTTATGCCCAGACTGACCTAATCCAGGCAGAGGATAGGAGACTTCTCTTCCCGTCCACGGCAGCTGTCCTTCCCCCAGACACCGGCTACTCAGCCACGGCTTGCACCGGATCTTCAATCCCTGGTATCCATCTCGCGAGACCACGATTCCTGCCTTTGTTTCGCCCACCCCACAGGTTCACAGCGTTGTATCTCATCTAATGATCCAACAGCGGAACTGTGAACAATCTGCCTTACTAAGTTTGGGCCTTGTCCTTGCTATAAGCATCAGCATATAGGAGCGGCTCTGCATAGGCCCTTCCGTTTCCAGACTTTCCATCATGGCAAGCCTGGAAAAGATCATGAACATGGATGAAGACTCTGCCGACCCTGTCCAAGTTAAAAGGGAACGGTCCGCTAGCTCCATCTCAACTCAAGTTCCCACAACCCACACATCATCAGCATCATCCTCCATCACATCCCCCTTTCCAACAACATCAGCATCGGCCAGGCATATAACATCAAGAGACCAGCCCTTTGCTCGACCACCTCGACATATATCAAGCCCTTCAGCCTTCATGGCCTACTCACAACCATCTGACTCTCCATCACTGTCTTCACCCAGCTCTTCAACCACATCTCGTCGATCACATAGCAGCATCAGCACAGGAGCAGACGCAATGGACGCCATGCACTATCCCCAGGACCACTACAATAGCAACTATGGCTATGGTCCATCTAGTTCCTACTCTGACCCAGCCTCAAGAGCCTACTCAACAGTCCCAACCGCCGGTGCACCCATCAAATACACCCCCATCACTGGGAGAGTGAGTCGGGCAAAGAAGGGGTATCCCGTTCATGTGTGTGATCAATGCAAACCCAACAAGGTATACAACACACTCCCCTTCCTCCTCACCATGACTTTCGGATCTGATGCTGACGCTGCTGAAAACGAAACAGACTTTCACTAGAGCCGAGCATCTGAGGTTGGCCTCTTCCCACTGATCTTCCTCATCTTTCCTGTCCCAGCTTGCTAACAATGGGATCCTTTCCCCCAACTGTAGGCGACACCAGTTGAGCCATAACCCCCCCGAACTGGTTTGCAGCGTACCAGGTTGCGGAAAGACCTTTCACCGAAAGGACCTTCTTGAACGCCACCAACACAGACAGTAAGTTGGCAAAAGAGATGAACCGGGGATGTGGTGAGGTAAAACGAGTATTCCCATATCTAACCCTCATCAAAGTGAACAGGATAGAGGGATGTCCATGAGCGGTGGTGAGCAGCCCGGTTCGAACTACAGTCCGCCTATGCGAGGGCCACCATCAACTCTACCTCATGTAGCGCCGGGAGGCTATAGCTCAAACATGCCGATCAACTCAACGGCCTGGGGTCCAGATGTTGACTCGACCGATATGCAGCATCCAACCCCTCCAGGGTACATTACCGACAACATGAATCACCAGTACGGCTATGGACCAAATGCTGGATGGCCCGAGGGCCCAGGGATGGACAGCGTGCCGCCCCCAATGCATTTCCCCTCCGGGCCCGGGACTTGGAACACCGACCATGCCCCGAGAACGAACATGTTGTACAACTATTCCACCGCGCCGGGAACTGCGTGCGAGTATCCTGTGGATCTGTGCGGGATGCCCCTGGCCGCAGACCCTGGAAGCTTCGACGCGCATCACCACGCAAATTCCACTGTGCGTAGTCTACCCCCGTTGCTGGTTGAGGGACAATCACCTGAGACTCTAGAAATAGCGCTCGCGGCGCTCTCGCCATGCGCAGTAGCGACCACCCCTCTCTTCTCGACGTGCGGCAGCGAGTCGGGGCAGATGGCGGGGCTGCTCGCCGCCCACGTCTTCGCGCCCGTCTCGCTCAGCCGCGAGGTCCAGAGCGCCATCCCGGCGTATCTGGAGGTGTACTGGGACCGGACGTATCCCGTCTACCCGTACATCCACAAGGCCTCGTTCGACGGCCTGTTCGACGGCGAGGCCACGCCGTTTGAGCTTTTGAAATGCGCCATGGCGGCGCTGGCGACGCAATTTCTTGACGACAGGGCACATCGGATTGCTGGGAGTGAGCTGCATGCTTTTGCATGCCAGGAATTGAAGACTGTGAGTTGCGCCTCCCCCTTCCAATCTCCGTCATAATCAGACAGACATGATTCCTTTCACTCTTTGGCCATGGGCGAGACTAAAACGAATGTAGTTTACGGATGGAAAACATTGGTCATTACCTATTATGCAGGCTGTGGTTTGTTGCGAATACTATGCACGGTTCAGGGGGCGGGACAAGCAGTCTTATAAGCCGTCCTCGAACTACCGCAAAGTGTACGAAATGGTACGTTTATGACATCCCGTCCTCCCTCCCACCCCCTGAATGTTACCATCCCCGCAGACCAGGTTCTGTAAAACCCCCGGCAGATGGCCTCCATGCTAAAACTCCCAAATCACAGCTTGTGGAAAAACACCACGCCTTTAGTCTGCCGCTCCCGGTGCTCGGGAACAAACTACTATCATGGAAGGACTGGGTTGAGACGGAAACCCGACGACGATTACTCGCCACCTGCTTCATGCTCGACGTGCACACGTCCGCCTACTTCAAAGAGCCGCCGATATTAGCCCTGGGACCCGATCACCCCTCGCTGCCGATGAACCAGGTGCCCTTCTCGACCAACACCAACCGGCTGTGGGAGTGCCCGGACTGGGAGTCGTGGAGCAGGCTGGTGGCCTCGGACCCGAGCCTGGGCGTCCCCCTCGGGCGCAGCCTGGCGGACGAGTTCACGCCGCAGGACGTGGCATCCATGTCCGGCTTCGACGCCACCATCCTCATGACAGGGTACGCGTCGCAGCTGTCGGGCACGGGCGAGACGGACGCGGGCGAGGCCTTCTCGTCCCCGGCCTCCCGCCTCGCCAAGCTGTTCCCCGCGTCCGGGGTCGCCCAGGCCTACCTGGCCATCCACTTCACGCCGCTCCACGCCCTCCTCTCGGTATCCGGCAACAGCTGGGTGCTGAACAGGAAGGTCCCCGGGGCGAACGAGTTCAGAGAGCACACGCAGACGCTGGACAAGTGGTGCCAGTCCGAGAGCGCAGCCGTGGCTGTGTCGTGGGCTGCGCGGGCCCTGCTGGTCTTCCTTCGCATCAGAGCCAAGACGAGGAGGACCAGCGAGGCGGGGTCCTCGTCGTCGGACGTGGACAGCACCACCCTGCCACGGGGTAGCAGGGCACGCTGGAGGGACGTCTCGGACTACTGGGGTGTGTACGTGTGCGCGCTCATCTGCTGGGCGTTTGGGCGGGAGGCGGGCGATCAGCAGCGGGCGTACGACGGGGAGAGCACAGCCGCGCACAACGAGGCATCGCGGAGCGAGGCGGCGCGGTGGATACTGGAGGCAGCGCAGCGGCGGCCGGAGCAGTTGCTCAAGTGGCGGAAGAGGAGGTGTGTCCGCGGGGTGGTCTGCCTGGCTCGCGATATCCTGAGCCCAGACTGTCTCGCGAACCGGAGCATGCTGTATTGCGATGCAGTGAGTGTGCTGAAGAGGCTCGGGGAGCCTTCAGCATAGGTTTGGAGGCCTTTTTATTGAGGATATTCTTTTTAATATTCTCTCTTGTACGACTTCACGAATGATTTACAGATGGAACGACATAGACGAAGGAACTGGACAGTAAGGAGAGGCATAGATGTAATATTTGGGTGTGATCTGGTCTGGAAAGGCGTTCAACAAGCGGGAAGCGCAGCTTTGTTTTGATTCATGTTTGTGTGTATTTGTTTTGGACGACTTGTTTTGCTCTGCTTTTTCTTAGTTTCTGTTTTTTTAGAACTCGCTATTTGAAACTGGATATTTTCTGTTCTCCCATTATCCAAATCATTTCTTTATCCAGACACATCGGATACCGTGAACATAGGATATTATGCCTGCTGTTCAAGCTTGGCAGTGTCTTGTCGTCAACGTCGTCGTCATCAACGTCACCAAGTTTTACCAGCGGATCTGCCTTGTCTTGGCTGATCATCGGAGAATCCGGCATGCTCTGAGGCTATACATACACAGTACGACACAAGCAATGCTACTAAGCATCGGGGCGGCGGAAACCTGTGGAGGCGGAGACGGGAATGCCCAGCGCGGATCGTCTAGGCGTCGTCATCTGCCAAGAAAGCGGCTTCTAAAGCAGCGCCTTGGCCACCCGCGGACAGAGGAGAGGGATGGGGAGCGAGACATGATACATGCGCGGATATGGAGGGTGTGTGTGGACACACGGCACGGAGGATTCGGGCATGGAAAGGGGAGGGGGCAACGAGAAGTAAACAAGAGAGAGGGCAGATAAGAAACGCTGCAGAGGAACAGAATGATGGCGTTGGTGAGCTGATCGGCGACCTATTCTTAGACCGCCGGTACTAATGATCATTGGAGAAACGGGCGAGAAACAGGTCGGAGATCTGTGGGCCGCTGAAAGCCATCCTCTTGGCCAACTTGTGGCTTTGCGGGGGGGAGAGAGAAAGAGTGAAACGATGGGGGTTTTGTGGCGGCCAACTCTGGTTCAGCCCAGGTCAGCTCGTCTCACCCAGGCCCTTTGCTTGGTCTCTTCTTAAATATTCTTGTCAGGCTGGCGTCTTGTATCATACTTGCCAGTTAGGGTTTCGATAGATTCGGTGCGGGGGACAGCGGCTGAGCCCCCTTCAGATGTCAGTGACATGGGAGGTCAGGTCAGGTACGCGTCCTCCAAAGTAATTACGCGCACGCCCGCCCGCATAGAGGCACAGGCTCGCTCTCGCATGACAGATCGACTGACACATGCAAGCATAGCGGAGGGAATAACGCCCGTATGGAGACAGCACAGGGAGGGTATCAAGAGAACTGTCAAAAGAATCAATTGCCCAGAAAATGTGTTCTGGACCTGCGAAATGAGTTGTGGCGGGACCATTTTAGTCCTAGCGCCCTTGCCGCTCTTACTCGGTAATAAACTCAGTTGGCTAACCAGAATACTATAGTTAAATAACTAGGCACCTAAACTATATAAATTAATTATATAAGTATAATAGGTTTAGCTATTTATTATTATTATTGCAATTTTATTTCTTTATTCTTTGAAATTTATAAAATATTAATATAAGTTTAAGAGTAACTTTTGAAAAATAACCGACTATTATATGTATGCTTATAATAAGACGGATTCAAAGAGAAGGGAAATCAAGTTCCCGGTAGAGAATTGGAAAGTGGTGACACATCCAACGAAAAACAAACGATGCTACGCGCGCCAGAAGCATCAAAAATGGTATTATACTTGGAAGCTTGAACCATAGTCATGTCTTGAATTAGTCACCTCCAAATGCAGTCTTTTTCATTTGTTGGTGCTCCACCAATATTTCAGGCATTACTCCTCTCATAAAAGTGCAGGTTGCGATTTTGGGCAGTTACCATCTCCTATCGAACCTGTGTCATAGTTCAATCTCGGAAACTCCTACTAAATCTTGGCATTCTTCCTCTTCTTCTCCTTGAAGTGGTCACGTTGTGCTGCAACCACCGGGAGACCGTCAAAGATACCAGCCATAATCTCACATTCATCCAGAAGATGGCCATGAGTTGGCCTCATATTCGCATACACCCTCAGTGTGGTGCTTGCGGGATGTCGTTCCAGGTATACGCAGAGATAACGGCTTGTATAGTAATTTTCGAATCCCTCATACAGGTCAGCTGCTAACTTAGTACAGTAACATATCATGATGAAACCTGCATCACCCTTGATGCTGGTGTATACCCAGACTGCGGTTATTGCAAGCAGACGAGTAGCAAATATATTTTCTGCCGGCATCCAGACTGCAGTGAACGCCAACTTACGAGCGAAAGCGTAACATTTCATACAGACTGTTCTAATCTTGTCAAGAAGTTGACTGATGGCGCTCTCCGAAGATTCTGGATTGCAGCCACTTGGAGGTATCCTTGGCCTCATTCCCCACCACCTTTACTAACTTCAGAGGATCCCATTGATGACTACATCCGAATGGCAAGCAATGCGTGCCAACTACCCCTCCTGATAACTCTATCAAATGAAATAAAAGCAATGGTTGTTCAGCGGTGCGGTCCTCATTTATCATTATGGCGTTATACATCTAGTATAAAGCTGATAAAAGAGCTGGAACTGGCCCAAAACTCATCGATAATTCTTCCGCTTGTCGACATACAAAGTTGGCATCGGGGGACCCAACCGAGACTATCGAATGAAAGACACAGTGGCATAATCCGATTGACCATTGATGCTCGAGGTCTTAGAGCGATCTGCCGTTTTTCAAACCCTCTAGAACCAAGGCCACTCTCTACACACTCTAGCTATTTCCTTTACATATTCAGGCAAGCTACACAGGTCTACAATACCAAAGTCCAGTTTGACGTAAGTTCATGCTATTAGATTAAGAATATCTTGCTAATATACATATAGATTGGCCTTGGTCGTTTAAGTATTCCAGATATGCCAGATCTACAGCTATGGGACTCCTGCTCTACCACTAGGGCGGAGTGTTATTCAACCACCACAATCAATTCGGACACCTGAAATTGAACGCTTTACAACTAGCAGCCTGAAACAATGCCATGGCCTTACATTTTTCATCTCAATGAACGGGATAGCAAGTATTCATCCACATACCTCAAGAGGTCCATTTTCGTTTGAGACCTTTACTGGTACCTTAACACCTCAACTCCAAGCCTGTACTGCTTGGTTTTATCTTCCCCTAGGAAATAATGAGGAAATCGTCTCCTTAGGCCTTCGATTTCACGTTAGACATGGGTTATATCTATTTCCATGCCTTCTAGTAAGAGCTAGGAATGTTTAATGATATAGATGCGAGGCTAATTCAACAGGTCTATTTGGACTCTGGAAATTACACTATTGGGCCATCCTTAACTGGACGAGTGGTCGATATTACTGTACTAATTAAGGGCCGGCCTATTCTTCTCTGGGAAAACCCTAACGATGAAAGCAACTGTATTTCTACTATAGGATTCTGCATCATAGGTGTCTCTATTGGGAGGACTCTCTTCTATTCGCATTCTATGATTCCACTAAACAATCCCCCATTTAAAAACGCCTGTCTGACCACAGCCCCCTTGAGAGGGGTAGTTGAAGTGAAATTGTTTCGCAGCCAAACCTTCTGCAGAGGTATAATTCCCACATATGACAACAAGACTCGACGATCCCTGGGTCAATGCTGGGTGGGTGAAGATACAGTGTTCACCTATCAAACACCGACACGGCTGTACTATGCTTCTACAGAGTATAAAATTGACGGCGTTAAGCCACTTCGAGCAGCAGTTTACGTGGAGATTGCAACTCAAAGCTGTCCTGAGCCTCAAAAAGATGAAAGTCGGAGGTGGGCTTGTTCTGCAATGCGCGGGATAATCAAGTTCTGGTTCAATGAGGTTCAATCTTCACTCACAGTGCAGGAGACAGGAGAGCATGAAAACTGATGTTTAACTTGATATCCGAAAACACATACCTTGGTCTTATCGCTGCAAGTATTCACTTTGGTCCTGCCCTATTTAATTGGTGTTAGATTCTTCCCAGATGGCATAATCTAGAAATCAGAACATCCATCTTTTGAAAGAGTAGATGGCCAGGATGGACGATTTGTTCTTGCCTGGTCCAGCATTTAGGTGGGAGGGACGGATTCAGGGCGTCAGGTAATGAGATGAAAAAGGTTAGTACCAGCGGAAGCAGCAAGCCTAGGAATGGTAGGGAAGAGGCCCGAAGCTTCGGGGGCTTCCCTCATGAAATACATTTCCTACAGTTTGGACGTGGATAGGTCTTGTATGTAGGGCTAACCAGGAATCATCGATTAGTGAAGAATTAGGGAGGGATGGATCTCTCTCAGAGACTGAGCAGGAGTTGAGTTGGTGGAAGGAATGTAAATGTGATTTTAATTTGGAGTCTACAACTCAAAAAGTCTTATACTATTCACCTGTACAAAGCAATGTAGGAGAACTGATCCTCTCTAGCTTAGGATTACGGAGGTCTTGCAAACACCACACTTTGAAAGAGTCTCTCCCACGATAAGTTGATCAATGCTGACTCAGCTAACCTGTGCACAGGTTAGCTGAGTCAGGATTCACTCTTCGAGTAGCATCTTGGTATAAGGACGTAGGTAGCTCCGTCAATGGGCAGCGATATTTCGAATCCAGCTTCTTCGCTCTATGGGATATTGCCATGTTCTTTGTCACGACCTAAACAAGCGCCGTCACCTCGAGTTCCGTTGGCCAGTACTTCTGCTCTGCTTTGCCTAGCAGTTTGCTCCAAAACCCAAGATATTGTATTCGCGATTTATCTAGTGACCCCACCGGATTTTTTGGGTCGAAAGTGCCATCATGGTAAAACAAGGTGACGCCAAAGCCGTGCTTTAATGCATCTAGCTTAATAAACAGCTGGCGGTCCAAATCATGGTTGTGTATAATCTTGATTATTCAAAGGCAGTTCACAGCTAGGTAGCTCGCTATCAATAGGCTGCTTATCTCTGAACCGATAAGCGATACAACGCCTGTCTGCTTATGGTGCTCTCAATGCACCAGTTATTCACCGATATTTCTCTTTTCCACGCCCTATGGTTATTTATCAGGTGAGTATATTTACTCACATTTACACCTTACTAATTATATATTAAAAAAATAACTACTATAAGTTTTAGATTAATACTAATTATTAAACAAGGTAAATAATATAACTATATTATTAATATATTTTTATAATTAGCTTGCTATTAAATTTATACTATATTTTATAATAGATATTTAGAAAGCGAATTTATATAGCTAGTGCATAATTTAATAATCTTATATAGATGATATGCTCAGCTGCCTCAGGCTAAAGAAAGGAACTCAGTCTAAAAGCGGCGCTGCTCAGGGAACTTTCCGACACCAGGATGGCATTTTGTTTCTAGCTAGCGTTGCACTAAGTGAGGGTACCTAGTCCTCACGATCGATGACGGCAGAGCCAGAACGGGATTGTTCCACTGCGGCCAGCAGTTGCGGAAGTGTTGTTGGCCCAGTAGGTTGCGGATGGCCCGGACGCCATTTGTGACGGACGAGACATTTACATGGAAGAGGTACATACGAATTTCGACTTGGCATGGCCCAGTAAGCCCACGGAGATACTGTTGGTCGAAATCGGCTGGGACATGGCTGTGGTTTCTTGTTCCCCCTTTGTCATTTCCTTGTTTCTTTTCTGACGGTACCTTGGATGCTGACATTCCTGGCGGAGGCAAAGCACAAGAGGTGCAGATGCAGAGAGTAAAATAAAGCCTTGCAAAGCTGGTGGCAGATCCCTGGGGTAGTATGTACCTATGAAAGGTACTTGACCGGGATGCACTTTCAAGTTGGCTCATGGCTGGGCCGGGCATGATTATGACAATGCATGCTTTGACAGCCACCTCATTTTGAGGTACCTCATCATCATTGGTGAAATGCTCCGACGACCTATCCTGGGAATCCGTCTTCGTATGTAATTAAACAGACGAGAATCAGTTGATTGGCTGTTGAGAAGACTAACTACCTACCTGTGATAGGTAGCCACAGGGAAGGAGACAGACGCTATTGTCGGTCCTAGCTGTTGTCTGCTGTGTAGTGCGCCTGGGCTTCGGATGAGTGTGCCGTGCTCCAGGCGGGTTGGCGGGCTACTAATGCACTCGGTACGACATTAGGGCTCTGCCGCACGCTGATGTTGGGGTTGGGCTGGAGGTCCAAGTACTGGTACCAGCACGCGTCGTTCGGCCTCCAATTGAAGTCCCTGTGCCACTGGTAGCTTGAGGTAAAAGCACAACACCACAAGGCTTCTATGCGTCCCGGCTACCATTTCGGCCCTGCCTGTTGGTCCCTCCCATTTAGCTCACTTGCCCGCCTTGGAATTTCCATTCCATTTCATTGCCTACAGTGCCCCGGTTCTCTCTCAGTTCAGGCCTCTGCTTGCCGAGGCTCTCGCCTCAATCAGTCTTGCCCAGTCGTCAAAAGTTCGAGAGCTGAGACATGGATGACGAGGCAGGACAACAGAAGTAGTAGCCTCCTTGTGATTTGGCAACTGGCCCTATGCCATCCCATCAACCACAGCCCTGCTGGAAAGGGGCACATTGACCGCCAACCCCTCGTCTGTCCCCATGTCCCCAGCAAGTGGCATCAACCGAGTCGCTTGGCTGCGGTGTACAGGTCGGTCGGGCTGTTTGAGACCGCTTGCCGCTATAGCCAATTATCTCATGCTGTCCACGAATACGATACATTCTAGCCCCCGTTCAAGTCCATCTCCATCGTTGAAGCGCCCCATGCTTATGGCTAGCACTGAATTAGACCGAGAGCACGGCCAATGCCTCGTGGGGGGCTGAGGAATGGATACTTCAAAAACTGGAAGACAGCTCTCTCCTCGCCGCGTTCAAAACCCGAGCCCCTTGCCCTTCTCTTTGATGTGATCTTTTAGTCTCATTTCTGGATGCTGCCTCTGTCCCAGCTTCTTGCACCTTTCTCCCATTCTTCCTCGAGCCCAATTGAAGCTGTGTCCAGCCTGGTCTTTGCATGGCCATGTCACACGACACTCTGTATCTCTGACCCTATCTTGCCTACCTATGTCCTGCAGCTGTAACCGCGCCCATCCGTCGACTCCTGCCACGGAGAAATAGGTACGAAACCGGCCGAACCAAAAATAACGGACCCATGTACGTGTGATTGAGCGGAAATCACCACCGCATCTGCTCATTTCCTCAGCCTTTCATTTATTTCTATTTATTTTCATCAAATTTAATGTTCAAATTCAACAGTGCGAGTTGTGGACTCGGTACGCTAGGTGGCGTCTGCTCCAAATCCAACCAACTTGCTTCTTACACCGGTACGCTCATGCAGCCCGACAATCACCCACTGGCATTGGCCGTCTTCCATCTACTAGCTCCATGGCTGAGCTGAACTGAGATGCCATGGTTGCGCGCTGACACGGATGCTGACCAGGTATTTGCACTTCGGGAGGGTGTGCCAAGGATATTGATCGCCCGTTGCAGCCATCCCAGTCAGCCATCCTTTGTGCAGCTGGAAGTACCTTTTTCTTAGCAGCCTTGCTTGGTAGGACCCGCCCTCCAATCCGTTGGAAGTATCGATCGATCCGCGCACAGAACCAGCATCGTCAGTGATCAGGCCCGACCCCACAGCGACCAACGGCAAGCGGCTATCCCCCCTTCTTCCCCACTAGGCCCCTTCGCCAAGCTCCCAGCACCAGCGCCAGCGCCAACACCCATTCTAGGTAGGCAGGTAGCTGCTGTAGCTGTGCGGTAGCAGGGGATCACTGCCTGTGGCTTCGTCTGCGTGTGCTCTGGACACGTCCATCCATCTGCCCACGGCCTGGGGTCCAGCTCAGCTGGCTGGTGGCCCCTTCGCCTGTTTGGGGCAGGGATTTCGTCACCATGGTCCGCATCGTTCCAAACCGCCTTCTTCCCTCTTATTACTCCCCTTCCTCCTCGTCACTCCCAACCTCCAGTCCGACGACAAACAAAATCATGGCTTCCAAGGTCGACTTACCAAAGGGTGGGCCTGACTCGCCCACCGGCCTTGTTCTCAAGGTCGTTATTATGAGGGTATGCTAAATACAAACACACTTTGCCCTACGTCTGAATTCCGCCGTTGGCGCCCCTCTCCAACACAGCTCTCCCGCATTGCTGAGTCCACGATGGTTCCGCTCTGCTGGAAGCTCTCTGGAGCTTCGCCAACTCCCAGAGGATCCCCTACCCGGCAATGCGGCCCCCGAAAATGTCTAGCAATTTATCGGGGCCAGCCGCTTCCTCGCATATCTTGAACGCCGTTGTATCAATCTTGAGACCTGGGACGCTAACACTTCTTTTTTCCAGGGCCGGAACTTGGCAGCCAAAGATCGGTCAGGAACCTCGGATCCCGTAAGTCTCTGCTGCTCTAGCTATTGAAATCTTCCCAGCTATGCTCCTCCCCCGATTCGTTATGCTTTCGATCAACATCGAGTGTTTCACAAGCTAACAATTATGCGTATCACTGCAGTACCTCGTCCTCACTTGTGGCGATTCACGAATCCAAACGCACACAGTCCCTAAAACTCTCAATCCCGATTGGAACACCATTGAAGAGATCCCCATCACCTCCTACCAGAACCTCCTGCTCGATGTGGTCTGCTGGGACAAGGACCGCTTCGGCAAGGACTATATGGGCGAATTTGATCTCGCTCTCGAAGAGATTTTTGCCAACCAGAGGTCTGCCCAGGAGCCAAAGTGGTACCCCCTCCGGAGCAAACGTCCAGGCAAGAAGACGGGTTACGTCTCGGGCGAGTTACAGCTCCAGTTTACACTTGTCGACACATCCAACAAGAATGCCACCCCCCGCCAGATTATCGACAAGCTGGGCAACTTGGCCAGATCCGCCCCAGGCTCCGGGCTAGATTCGTCCCGAAACATTACTCCTAGCAGGACGCCTGTTCTCGCGCCGACCATCATTCCCAGATCTGTGCCAGCTTCTTCCTCCAGAGGCGGGACTAGTGATGATGAAGAGGATGAGCTGGAATTGGACGCAGATGAGAGTGATATTGGCGGCGACCCCGAGGACAAGCGCAAGCGTCGCCTTCGGATCAAGGGACTTCGAAAAAGGAAGCAAAACCCTTACGCCTTCACCAACGGCGATTCTGATGTCATGGGTATCATATTCCTCGAAATTTGCAGAATCACAGATCTGCCTCCCGAGTCCAACCTAACTCGCACGAGCTTTGATATGGACCCATTTGTTGTGGCCTCACTGGGAAAGAAGACCTATCGTACCAAACGCATCCGGCACAATCTCAACCCTGTATACAATGAGAAGATGATCTTCCAGATTCAGCCCCATGAGAAGGCCTATTCCTTTGCCTTTACCGTTATTGACCACGACAAATACTCGGGCAATGATTTTGTAGCCTCTTGCACTCTCCCGATTCAAGAGATCATTGAGAAGGCTACCAAGGCGGACCTTGAGACTGGTCTATATGAGCTTCGCGAACCTTCTGCTCTCAAACAGAGATCATCAAGCAAGAGTCGTCTCAAGCGCCTGGGTCTATCAAGGACCTCCTCCACGTCAAGTTTGAGCAAGATCATCCGCCCCGGATTGTCCAAGAATGCGTCTAGCGCGAGTTCCGTCACTCCATCGGTCGCCGGAGATGCTGCTGCTAGTCGTGGCAACGGAAACGGCAACGGCAACGGCAATGGTAGTGGAAGCGGAAGCGGGAGTGGAACTGCCAGTGCGACTCTCCTAGCACCACCTGCCGACGGCCTTTCAACTCCCACAAACGAGCTGGCAGACCCAATGCAAGACGCAGACGACTTGGACCCTGATTTCATTGATTTAGAAATTCCACTGGTTCTGAAGAACTTGGAAAAGTGGGAGGCCAAGCATAACCCGGTTATTTATCTGCGGGCTAAATATATGGCTTATCCCGCACTCCGACAACAGTTCTGGCGTGCTCTCCTGCGACAATACGACACTGATAGAAGTGGGCACATCAGCCGGGTCGAGATGACGACCATGTTGGACAGCATTGGCTCAACGCTGAGGGAGACGACCATCGACGGTTTCTTCCAACGATTCCCCCATGGCGAGGAGGAAGAGTGGGAGCTGACAATGGATGAAGCTGTAATCTGCCTTGAGGAGCAGCTTGAAGCCAAGAGCAAGCCGAAGAGCGTGGGAGATAAACTCAAGAGGATGGTGCCTGATATGAAAAGCCTGAATTTGCTCGGCAGGTCTGGTGACCCAGGTAGTGCCTCTGCCTCCGGCACCTCAACCCCGCAGATCTCCATCGAGGTATCAGAACCCACATTGAATGCGCCGTCTTCTGATTTCCGGACCGCTGGCGATGAGAGCGACAGCCCGGATCGGGACGACTTCAATGATGAGGAACACGTCGTCGAGATTCGAGAATGTCCCATCTGTCACCAGCCGCGTCTCAACAAGCGCAGCGATACAGACATCATTACTCATATCGCCACATGCGCCAGTCAAGATTGGCGGCAAGTTAACAATGTTCTGGTGTCCGGATTTGTCACAGCCAGCCAGGCCCAGCGCAAGTGGTACTCAAAAGTCATCACGAAGATCTCATACGGTGGCTACAAGCTTGGAGCCAACTCGGCCAACATCCTTGTCCAAGACCGACTTACAGGTCAGATTAATGAAGAAAAGATGAGTGTCTACGTAAGACTAGGCATTAGAATGTTGTACAAGGGTTTAAAGTCGCGTGAAATGGAGAACAAGCGAAGTAAGTACTATCACGGCATGATACATTGTTTAGCAAACCGGTAACTAACCATTGTCATTCTAGTCCGAAAAATGCTCAAGAACCTCAGCATCAAGCAGGGCAAGAAATTCGATGATCCAGCATCCCGAGAAGAAATTGAGAAGTTCATTGCGTTCCACAGGCTCAACATGTCGGAGGTGCTCCTACCTCTGAACGAGTTCAACAACTTCAACGAATTTTTCTACCGAGCTCTGAAACCCGGTGCTCGACCCTGCTCTGCGCCTGACAATTCAAAGATCATCGTGTCACCTGCAGACTGCCGCAGTGTGGTCTTCAATGAAATGTCGCAAGCGACCAGTGTCTGGGTCAAGGGTCGTGAGTTCAACATGAAGAGACTCCTGGGTGATGCCTATCCCGAGGATGTCTCTCGTTTTGATGGCGGATCCCTGGGTATTTTCCGTCTGGCCCCTCAGGATTATCACCGCTTCCACATGCCCGTGGATGGAATAATGGGCGAGCCCAGAACAATTGAGGGTGAATACTATACAGTGAACCCAATGGCCATTCGCTCGGCGCTCGACGTTTATGGTGAGAACGTCCGTGTTCTCGTCCCTATCGATAGCGAGCAGCATGGAAGGGTAATGGTGATCTGTGTGGGAGCTATGATGGTGGGCAGCACTGTCATCACGGCCACAGCTGGCCAACAAGTGAAGCGTGCGGACGAACTCGGTTACTTCAAATTCGGAGGCAGTACAATTTTACTGCTATTTGAACCTGGCAAGATGCTGTACGACGATGATCTGGTTGATAATTCCAGCGGTGCCCTTGAGACTTTGGTAAGTAGAACATGGTCGATTGAAACCTTGTACGGGGATCCATTAGTTGCTAACTAAATAACTAGGTTCGCGTTGGCATGTCAGTTGGTCATTCTCCTGATGAGCCACAGTGGGCTCCAGATATGCGCAAGGACGAGCAGGAGATTACAGATGCAGAGAAGAAGGAGGCCAAGCGCCGGATCCAAGGCAGCGCTGCTTTGGAAGACTCGCCTGAGGGCAGCGGTGAAGATGAACCAAGGCACAGCAGGAAACCGTCCGCAGCTCCTACGGTTAACACTCTGGCTGCCTCGGCAATGTAAGAGAGGAGGAACTTAAACTTGACTGGACCAACGGATAATGATACACATGATAGCATATGCGATGTTTTTCTTAATAACATGAACATAGACATGAATCAGAGAAGGAACTTGTTTGGCACTAAGAATTCTCATTTACATTGAACTAAAGCGAAAAGACATAACCGGCCGTCGTAACCATATACTTCGTCAAAAGCACTCTAAATGCAGCATATCTCATTCCGTCGTGAGAGGATACAATTTCACCCCAACCCAGGTATGTTTATGAAATACAGAAAAGGGCAATGAGTACAAAAGAAACGAGCAAGAGATAGGCAGAGAAATTATTCGTTCATCATCAACAGATATCAGGCCCCGCGGCCATCCCTTCACTCGTCAACCGGTCCGAATGAGGGCTGCATACCGGGGATGTATTCACTAAGGAAGATGTTGGGATCTATGTTGGGATTATAATCTCCCCACGCGAGCGAACCCGGAACATTGTCCATGTACAGGTCATCCGTTATCCGGGTCAGCTCATCCACAGACTGAGCCGTTTTCTCGGACTGGCTCGGGGCCGACTCCACCGTCTCCGTAGTCCCGGACGTTGACGACGGCGTGATCGAGCTGGGGCCCTGGGGGTTCGACGACTGCCATGAGCCGCTAAGCTCGGGGCCTTCATTGCCGTTCGAAGTCTTATTGTAGTCCAGCGAGAACGCGGACATGAAGTCGGACTGCGTCATGGTCGGCGCCGGGCCGCTCAGGCTGCCATCCGCACCGGGCCCAGCTCCCTTGGCCGGCCCCCTCGGCTGCGCCCTCGGCATGTGGTGGTGGTGCGCCCTGGGGCCCGGCCTGAAGGCGCAGGGATCCTGGCCGACGGCGATGCGGTCGGAGGGGAAGAGGCTGTTGTAGATGCGGCGCCAGGACCAGGCGGGCTTGCGCTCCGAGAGGCCGTTCCTGGACCCGCGGTCGACGCGCTGGTTCTGGCTCCAGTTCTTGCACTTCTCCCACTGCTCGGCGGACATGTCGAAGTCGGGCAGCTCGGCGCGGCCCGTCCGGCGGCACTTGCCCCGGTGGGACGCCTTGAGGTCCTGCAGCTCCGCGACGGAGACCTGGGAGAACTTGTGGCTACAGTCACCGCATCGGTACTCTGGGGAGTGCACCCTTTTAAGATGTTCTCTGGTACGCGGAGGTGTGTTAGAGATTGAGGCTCTCTCTAATTGGAAGATGTGTACGAACCTGAGTTTCGATATGTTGGGGAACTGCTTGCCCTCCTTGCAGGGCTCGGAATCCGGGTATGACAGGTTATGCTTGGTGGCTCTGTACCTAAAGGGACAGGAAAACTTCTCCGGGGCCCTTATTCCGCCATCCACCGCTGATGCGCCTTGGATAGGCTGGGAATTAACCATCGAAAGGAAGAAGATTGGGGGGTTGGTAAAAATCCAGATGTGAAAGGGGTTTTGTTGCTCAGATGGTGAGCTCACTCAGCATGGGGACCCTCGAGCCTGGCGTCACTCTCGGCCAGCCTCGCCTTGGAGCGCTTCTGGTGGAAGGAGATGGAGGTGATGAGGCTGTCGTCTGCCCCGGCGGCGGATGAGTCGTCCTCGCAGGACCCGGGGGGCTCGGACGTGGTCTGGGAGTCTATGAACTTGGGCTCCTGCCTGCGGCCCTCGATGATGGCCCAGGTGGTCGAGTCGTTGTCGGGGTCGTTGAAGAGGAATCGCTGGATCTGGTACGACCTCTTGAACGGTTCCTGGATCTGGTTGCTGTACTTGGGCTGCTGAGGCCGAACTGGCTGAAAAGAATCTACAGGTCAGCTTCTGGCGGCGGGCAGGCATGGCGAGCAAAAACAAGTTACAAGGTAATAGTAATAGTAATAGTGATTTGTTTTCACAAAAGTACACAAAAGTAGTCAAAAGTAGTCTTCTCTCGGTCCCCAGATCGGAGTGAGAATCAGAATAGAGAAAGAAAAAAAGCTATCGGGGAAGCGGGATCACTCACGTCTCCGGTTTTTCTCTTCTTGACGGGGGGGGAGGACATGGAGGTGTTGAGGAAACCCTACCTTATGCCTACAGCAACGACGACCACGGCGGCAGGCACAAGTTTGAGAAGAGGGGGATTTAAATCGAAACAAGCTCCATTAAGTAAGAACAAAAGAAAAAAGAATAAGAGAAGAAGAGTCAGGCGCATCGCGGGTGGCGGAGGGGGGGAGGGAAGAGGGCCAGAAATAGGGCCACCAACGGCTCTCTCAAAAACGTCGCAGCGATGCTTTCGAAGATGGTTATGTGACATGGCTTGCGTTGGGCCACACCCTATCGAGTGGAATTGCCAGTCGATCAGCCATCCATCCCTCATCGGGTCCGGGCGCCCTCGTCTGATTAGAGCTGCATGGTGGGTTGGGATGGCGGCCTGCCCGCGCCGTCCCGCTCGCCACGAAAATGGGATGTGTGGCCGGCGGTCAAGTCACCGTCGCCTTGGACCTTTTTTCACTTCCTTCTTGGATCTCGCTCCATCTCGGTCGGAAATGCGGGGACAGTCCGGTATGGTTTACGACCGGGGGCTCCGGTGACCGGAGGCTGTCCATCGGCCGCATCACCAGCTGATCGGCGAGCTGCAACGAGCGATCCGATCCGCAGGGGCGACGGCAGTGACACAGCCAACCATCGGGCGACATGCTGGCCCCCAAGTGGTCATCCTGTTGGGCGAAGAGGCTGTCTTTCTAGATGGCTTGGATACTTCGGTAGTCGGAAAGCGACATAAATCGACAAAACTTAGTGTATTGCCTCTCATATGTTTAGTATCAGCACGCAATAATCTGACAATACTCATCGCAGGCTCGAAGATAGGGAAGCGGTTGGTGGTTGAGTGTCCCAAATTCAACATCTACTTGGCTATCTTCATGCCGGGCGCTCACGATGGATACAGCTACCTGGGTGCAATCCACGGGCACGGGACCATTAATTGATAAAGCGCTGGGTGTCACGTCGAGACATCTGAGTATGGGTCTTGCAAAATTATATTTATCGTAGAATCTCAGAATATATATCTATGCATATATGTGTGTTCCAAGTATTCTTGCGTTCGAAAATCATTGCAGAAAACCAACAACATTGGGGGAGTATCAAAACCAAACAAACACGCAAGGCAGGAACAAAGTAAGATTTCCCCTGCACCAAGGAAGAATTTCCCTAACTCCAAATGGAAGTATCCACGGTCGGTGAACCTGGTGCGGGAAAAGAAAACAAGAAACAGTGGCTAGTTAAACCATATCGGCAAATATCCTGGTCTAGCCTCCTCCCCAAGACCTGTGGAAAGTCTTCCCAGCGTTGAGATATTTGAGAAAGGGGACAGTGTCCCTCCCAGCCTCCTTATACCTGGAAAAGAAAAATGATGACAAAATGAGAATCGTGCAAAGCGTATGAGTGCGTGGATGTGAAAGTGCAATAATCGCTGTCAATGTGATTCGCGCACGGAAAAGGTCCCAGGCGAGTGAGAGATGCTGACACACGTGTAAGTGGTGTGCGTGTTGGTGTCATGTAGACCAAAATGATATCCACAGCGAGGCGACAAGTAGGATTATAAAAATGTCGGCGATACAGAAATCAAAATCGCGTGGCCCATTTCAGCAGTCCTGCGATCATGCTGTCTGCAAGAGGGGAGCTGAAAGTGGCCGTGTTTATGCGTCGGCGCGCTTATCGGTCGTTGGACGTGAGTCGGGACAGTTGACTTGAGAGGAAACTGCTGCCAGTGGTGCTGCTGCTGCTACTCCGCCTGCGCTGGTCGCTCAGTGGCTTCATGCTGCTGTCGGGGGACAGCGAGCGGTGGGAGGGGAGCGCTGCACCATCCGCGGGCTGGCGGGTTTGCCGCCAAGATGAGCAGATCTGCTTGCACAGGTGTGCCGACATGGTGTATGTAGGGGCCATGGCTCTGTGTGTGTGGTGTGTGTGGTGAGAGTGAGGGTGAGAGTGAGTGCGTCGTTCTCGGTTCTCCAAAGCGCAGATCCGTTGGCTCTACTCTTGGTGCGGTTTATTGTGTCTTTCGCTCGTATATGTATTTATACAAGTCTCCTGAAACCTTTGTCCCCTTTTTTATTAGACTTTTTTCGTCTGGCCTTTCTCGCGCTTCAATGCAAAATGAGGTGATCGCTCTGGCTCGCGTGGGGTTTAGCGTGTGTAAGTCGTCGCGGTGAATTTGTCAGACGCTAATAAGGCAGTGGTGAGTATGTAAGCCCAAATAAGCAATCGAGAGACAATGGGTAGGTAATCAGAACGTTCAAAGAAAGGAAAAAGAAAGAATGCAACGGGATCTCGAAGCTATTAATACAATCGAGCACCTTAGCTAGTACTTGGGTACCTTAATCAAGTACGATTACGACCTGTGCAAGAATTTCTGACTGGGTATTTCCGATTTCCACAGCCCACACCGCACCCCTGCCCCTCCCCCAAAACCAAACCACCCAAACCATCCCCTGCTGCCCAAACAACAACAGATGGCTAGTGGTGCCTAGGAGTTCAACCAACCGATTAAGCGGCCAGTGACAAGTAGGTACCTTAGATTCCACAGCCTTGGTAACGACCAGTGTTCGTGCGTCCATCGACCTCATTGACCTATTGCCCAAGGAAGGTGCTGGTAGGTTCCTGCTGTGGCAAGTGCTTTGGCTGCTCTTGCTGCTCCTCTCGGTAGACCCTTCCTCGTTGGTCGTTGGTACGTACCACGCGTGAGCTGCACCTGCTCCAGAAGGCAGGACCAGCCTAGCAGTTGCGGTGCTCCTCCCAGATCCCCATCCCCATCCCAGGCACGACCAGGCCCATCATGTGCCCTGCGAACGGCCCAGAAGGAGAAAATGGCCTGATATTCAGTTTCCTCGCCGTCCACACACCCTCCCTCGCTCACAGCAACGCTCGTGCGGCCCCGCCAGCACAGAGGACATCGCCCAGATGCAGATAAGTCCTGACGATGCTACGGAGCAAAACGACGTGATCAGGCCCCTCGGCGAATCACCGCCCGTCCATGGTAAGCATCTGGCGCTCGCTTGGGCTCGGGCGGTGGAACCCGAGACCTCTCAAGTGGCCTGATTTTCCCCCATCAGGAACATCCCATCGTTCACTTCATCTTTCCGCATCCACGGAAGCTCGCATCAGTCAGATTATGGACCCTGACTCACCCACTCGCCTCACCTTGTAAGCTAACTAGCTGCCTCCATCGCCTTCTGGCTGCACAGTACAGTGGCTGTGATCCTTGTCTGCTGTCACGCCGCCGATCATGGCGCACTCCCCCGAATGACATCCAGCTTTAAAATATTGACAGCCGTTCTTGCCCGATTGCGGAGCCGTTCCTGCAAGCCATGCCGCCGGTAGTTGCCTGGAATTATCCCGACAACGACAGGCCACCAACCAGCTTCCAGCACACAATTTCCGACTTCGTCCAGCTTCCTTGGGTGTAATCAATTCTCATTTTCAATTCGACAGCACTGCTATATCCGAGAACACTTTGTGGGCGTCCCGTTATCCAAGATATATAACCTTTTTCTCCTCCTCTTGTCGTCTCTGATTCGAGGATCAAAGATTTCCCCATCCAAGTCCTCCAATACCAATAAAGCAAGTCTTTATCATGTTGAACATTACCTCCCCATGAGCCAGTGGCACGTTCCCGTGAGAACGATGCCACGGAAATTATCAAAAAAAGAACGCAAGTGAAATCAAAAATACTTGATATTGTATTATCCAACACCAGTTCCGAGAGTACTCCCCAATCCCGCAACCAATAAATGCTCAAATAAATACGTTGCAAGGGTCCCTACTCTTCAAGATTAGATTTGACCCCAAGACACAGAACAGCAAGCCAGCTTCCAGATCTGTATTTAGGCGTATGCCTTGCCAACCTTCATTGGCTCAACTGGCAAGCCTGACAGGGCTGCGTGTCCGACCTTGGGATCAGAGTCTCCCTGGATCACTCCCCATCCCAACACCTGGGCCACCATCCCTGACCCTTCACGCGTCCCCCGGTGGCATCGAGCACTCAACACGGCCGAGCATGAACCTCCGGGCAGGATCAGGGGGTTCGCCGTCCTATTTTCTTCACCCTCTGCCGGTGGGAAGTCGGTGCGCCGAAGGGACATGCCCAGGACAAAGAGACCAATGGCTGCTACCAGGGAGAGTAGAATAACTGTGGGCAGTGGGTTCATTCCAAGCACATAGCCGTCATCAACCTTGACAAGGTTGAAGGCCTGGCTCAGCATGAATCCCATGGCTGCGAATACAAAGAATAAAATCCACGAAATGGGTCGCGGAAGGGTAATGTAGAGTGAAGCCCTCTGCAGACCAAACGGATGGCTGGACACTCGAAGCGCCATGGCCTCCTCAGCGTACTTGGCGAACTCGTGTGAGAGGTAGAGCACGCTGAGCATAGCGTTGGTTGCGAAGTAGAGGGCCGCGAGAATGAGATGCGGAAGAGCGAGCAGAACCGCAACACCGGCTGAGGGGATCCCCTCGGAGAGGATGTACGTCTTCGTGGGGGTCTCGAGAGCCTGGAAGGCGGCAGCCGAGTTGTCTACCATGACCACGCTGAGCATCGCCGCTGACATACCCGCAGAGAGCAGCCAGATGACAGCCCAGATCAGCCACCTCGTTCGCGAGGGAGTCTGATACCACCGGTGTGGCTCGTTGAACCAGTACTTGGACTTGATCTCTCCGTTCGCCCACAAGCCGGTCTTGATGTCGGCTTTGGACAAGAGGCATGCGCCCTGGGTCGTCGAGTCGGGATCCGCGAGGAAAGAACTAAGAGCATCGCCCAAAGTAACAAGGGGGTTGTGGGCCGAGGTTGTGACCAGTGCCAGGGCCAATACTAAAATGAACAGAAGATTGAGAACAGCAAGGGCCCCGAGAATGGGGCCATTGAGAATAAGAGAGCAAGTTTCATCGTTAGCCTTCGACGTTCCAATATCGGTGAAGATGAGAGAATTATAGCTATAAATTCAAAGTCAGCATAACCAGGTTCGCAGATATACGCCAGGTCGATTCGTTGCCGTTCGTTCCTCGAGG